TAAGTAACTTCAAATTTAGTAACTTAAAATAACAGTCATTTAATGATTCTCTGGGTTGACTGGGACTGAGTTGGACAGTTCTGCTGATTTCCCTTGGCATCTTTTTTGTGGCTGCAGTCGGAATAGGTAAGATGTGCAGAGCTGAGCTGTTCAAGATGGCTCCCTCAGTATCTGGTGGTCACAGTGGGAATGCTGGGAAAGCTAGGTATTTCTCTTTCCATGTAGTCTCAAAGCCTCTTCTTCCAGGTGGTCTCTGCAGCAAAGCAGTCAATTTCTTACATGGGAGCCTATCTGTACCCATTGCTATTGAATAGATTCTACTCACAGAAATGCTATACAATAGAGCAGACCTGCCATATCGAGTTCAAGGCTATGATCTTTAGGGAAGCAAACTACCACATCCTTCTTCTGCAGTTGAGCACTTAACCTCTGTGTGCCCAGGGCACCTCATGGGACTCTAGAGGATCCAAAAGCACAAAAGTGGAAGCTTCCACGTTTTATTAAGACTTAGGTCTGAACCTGTTACGGCCTAATTTCTAGTTCATTCCAGTAGTTAAAGGAAGCTTAGGTTAATCCAGATGAATGCTTCTTGGTTTGTTAGGGGCCATCTTCAAAGACTAGCTCCCAAAATTGTGATCCCTGAATCTCTAGGATTGCTGTCCTAAATTCTAGACCCAAACATACTGTGGAACATGGGATGGACCTCAATCCTTGGATAGTCTACCAGGTTCCTCAGGTACCTTTACCACTCCAGTAACCCTCTCTTCCTCTTCAACTCACCGCAAGAGTTCAAGATAGAAACTTAGGAATCACCTTTGGCTTCTTCCTCTCTTCAGCCCCCACATCCCATCTCCTAAGTACCTCTAGAATTACTTCTCTTTATCCCCACTGATACCCTAATAATGATCATGGCTAACATTAGTGAGCACCTTCCATGTGTGTAAATAGTTTTTATGCATTCCATCTTTTTTCATGTATCTGGAATGAATTTTTTCCTTAAATTTTATTTCTTTGGTTGTTATTGAGAATATATATAGCAAGACCATGAATTCAACAGTCCTTACATGTACCGTTCAGTGACATTAATGCATTCTTTGAGTTGGGCCATGCTTCTCACCTTTGCCTTTTTCTGAGTTGTTCCTCCTAAATTAGCATATAGCCAGTCCCCCTAAGATTCTTATCTAATCTTACTGAGTTGTTCTTATCAATTTGATCCATGATAGATAGTTCTTAAAGGAGCATATTGCTCAAGGCAGACATTTTTTTACTAGTTAAGCTAAACTATTGTTTGATTTTAAGAAGACTTCAGGAAATATTTTTGGTTTAAGTTTTAAAGACTATCTCAGGGCAATAGATTCAGAGGGTCATCTACCTTCCGTGGCTCCAGAAATTCTAGAGTCCATGAAAATTTGAAATTTTATTCTGCCTTTCTCCACTTTTGATCAGGATTCTTCTATGAAATCTTTTATCAAAATATGCAGCAATGGTAACTGGACACCATCCAGTTCTGAGCTCATGGCAAAGTGGGCAGTTGTTCATGGAGTCAGTAAGTTACACATTCCACACCCTCCTCTTAGCCCTCACTCTCCTTCTTTCTGTTGCTCAAATGAACAGAGAGACCAATTGTTGTACTTTGAATGACCACTTGCAAGCTTTTAAGATCCCTATATTATAGGCACTCTATAATAGGTAGAACAGAAGCACTAAACTCATTATTAGTCCACATTAACTAAGATGTCCCATTAGCTAAATTTCTAAACCAAGGAATCAGATCCCATGAGGTGTTGGTTGTTCATAAGTAGCCTTAGCAATTACTTTTTTCTTCCATTGTTATAAATAAATCACACAACTTTTGCCACCTCAACTCTTTACAGGGGTGTAACTTATTAATAGCAATTACAATGATTAGCAGTGTAACCCTACCCTCAATCAATGAGATTTTCCATCATCATTAATACTCTTTTTCTCTCTCCCTCCCACCCCTGGTAACCACTAATAAACTTTGGTTTCTATATATTTGCCTTTTCTTAAGTCTTTTCATATAAGTGAGGTCATACAATATGCATTCTTTTGTGATAGCCTTATTTTTCTCATTATCGATGACACTTGACATCTTCAAGCTAGATTCGAACTGTAGCATGTATCAAGACTTCATTTTTCCTACTGACCGAGTAGTATTCTATTGGTATTTAATATTCTTAAAATGTTTTATACAGGATTTTTAATGTTTGTTTTTAGGAAGAGGGTTTTCCAGGTACTTATCTTGTCACATAACTGAAAAAGCAAACTACCGAACTACCAACACAAAATATGTTTTTGCAAATAACCTGTCCTTTCCAGGAATGTAAGTACTTTGTAAATTGTTATGTATTGTTCAGAACTTCACCAAGAATTGTTCACCATTTTCGAAAATCACATCACCACTGGTAACATTGCACAACACAACACGGTTACATCAATCTGCATTTGTGACTGTTAAGTTTTCAGTGATTCTGGGTATGAGTGCAAGCATCTGACTACTTCACTAGATCTTCTTCAGTGAGCAGGGAATGCCCTCAGTTAAGGGAACATTTGAATGAGGCCTGAAAAAATTAGGATAAGGTAGAGAATGTTGTTGTTAAGTGCCATCGAGTCGGTTCCGACCCATAGCGACCCTGAACAGGGTTTCCGAGGCTGGAAATCTTTATGGGAGCAGAAAGCCTCATCTTTCTCCTGCGGAGCAGCTGGTAGTTTCAAACTGCTGACCTTGCGGTTCGCAGCCCAATTCATAACCACTACTCTACCAGAGCTCCTTAAGATGGAAAAGAGCCAGTACAGAAGTCTGGAGGTGGGAACTGCTTAGTGCATTGGAGTGCTAGACAGCAGGTCCACTGAGTAGTGAATACGGAAGAAATGGACAGGCAGGAGATAGAGTGAAGAGCTGGAGGCTCTGGTTAAGAAGTTGAGATCTACCTTCTCTCTAAAGACTACATACCTGAAAATCTTCACCTTTGCCCCACTGAGTCCAATGCCTGCAATGAGTTCCATCTTCTCTGACTAGTAATAAAATTCTACTCATCTTTTATGGCTAAGCTCAAAATCGTTTGTGAAATCTTATCCCATTCTTTAGCAAGAATTAATCACTCCCTGGTCTGACGCACCACAGATGTCCCCACGGCACTAATCACAAATCACATGCTGCCTTATTCCAGCTGGATGTTTACATGCTAGTTTGCCTACCATAGTGAGTTCCTGGAGGGCAGAAGCTCTATCTTAGTCACTCTGGTAGCCATCCATGTCTTGGTATCTAAGTCAGTGCCTGGCCCACAGTAGGCACTCAATGAATGCAATGAATGCTGTGACATTAACTTGACTAGTGTGTGGTGTCCAGCACCACTCATGGCAGAACAGAAGGAAAACAAAAATAATAACAACTTATGATTTATCAAATGTTTGCTGTTCATGATCTGATTCGAGCCTTTAAAAAATTCTATGAGGCAGACAGGGTAGGCACTATTAGATAAGAGTAGTTGAGGCCCAAGACCACATAACTAAACCCAAACCCAAACCCATTACCATTGAGTGGATTCCAAGTCATAATGATCCTATATGATAGAGCAGAACTTCCCGCAGAAGTTTCCAAAACTGTAATCTTTATGGAAGTTAACTGCCACATCTTTCTTCCTAGAAACAGTATGGTGGATTCTAACCAACGCCCTCAGTGTCACCATGGTTCTCCAGCCTGTTTGTTATGTGCTGTGGAGTTGGTTCCAACTCATAGCGACACTGTACAGCGTTTCCGAGGCTGTAAATCTTTATGGGAGCAGAAAGCCTCATCTTTCTCCCGTGGAACAGCTGGTGTTTCGAATTGCTGACCCTGAATTAGCAGCCCGATTCATAACCACTATGCTACCAGAGCTCCTTTGCTAGCAAGTTAAGTGCCATTGAATCAGTTTTGACTCATAGCAACCCTGTATAGGGTTTCCAAGGAACAGCTGGTGGATTTGAACCTCTGATCTTTCGGTTTGCAGTCCAGTACTTAAATGCCAATTCTGTCCTCTTTGGATTCAGTGCCAGAAGGAAAATGGAGTGACCTGAAGAAGAGCATTTTGAGGAGTTTAGGCAATGAGGCTGGTTGCAATGGAAGAGCGCTTTTGTGGATGGACAAGGAGAAATCCTCAGTCAGTTGCATTGAGTTACTGGCAGGGCTGCCAGGGAGGGCATTCCTCTTCCTGACCCTTAACTCACGTAGAATCAATCCTACTCTAGCCCTCTACCCATGAATGCTGGGGAACCCCTAGCCTGCGAAAGAGATGGGTATTTGTGTGTCCCGGTGTGGCGCTGTGGGTTAATGTTCGGGACTGCAAAGTAGGTTTGAATCGCAAGGTCGGTGGTTCAAGCTCACCAGTCGCTCCTTGGAAACCCTATACACAGTGCCGTTTAGGGTCGCTATGGGTTGGAACCAACTCGACGGCACCTAACAACAACAACGGGGCACTGTGGGTTAATGCTCTAGATTGCAAGGTCGGTTTGAACCGCAAAATTGGCTCAAGCTCACCAGCCGCTTCTAGGAAACCCTATACACAGTGCCGTTTAGTCGGAACCGACTTCACCGCACTTAACAACAACAGCAACGAGGGAATGCGGTGGAATAAAGACCTAAGAGGGGTACACTCAAGAAAGACTCTCTAGTTCGGTGGTTCTCCACTTTTACATGTTGGATCACCCGCGGAAATTTAAAAGTTCCAATGTCTAAACCACAGCCCAGGCCAATAAACCAGAATTTGCAAAGGTGTAACTAGTCATCAGGTTTTTGTTACAATTTTCAGGTGATTCCAGTTGCAACCAAAGTTGCAAACCCTCCTTTCACCTGGCAAACGGAATTTCTGTGACCTCCTCAAGATGGCGACAATAGGACAGTTTCCGCCTTTAGGAGAACCGGCAGGGGCGGGCCTTCCAAGGACGCATGCGTTTAGGGAATCCTCGCTCCCTGCTCCCCTCCTCCTTTTTCCCCCGCCTCCATTTTGTTTGAGGACGCTGGGGACGGTGGGAGCAGATCCATTTCCGGGTTGGCAAAAGGGGCGGCGGCGGCGGCGGCTAGAAAAGGAGCTTGCCGAGGGGCGAGCGGGACCGGAGGAAGCCGGAGCGAAGGTGACGGAGGACTCGCTCTCGGAGCCAGCTGCGTCCAGGTTGGAAAGAGAAGGGGGCGGCTGGGTCTGTCTCTGAAGTGACCTGCGGACCTGAGTGGGAGGAAGAGCCGGGCGTAGGGACTGGGGCGGGGCTTGAGGCGAGAAGGGGCCTCTGGAGGAGGGACTTGAGGAGGAGAGGGGTCCTGAAGGCGGAGCTTGAGGGACAGGGGCCTGGGGGCTGAGTCTGAAGAGCCCGGAGGAGAGGGGGCGTGGGGAATCTTAAGTAGGGAGGAGTGGTCGGGAATTGGCTTGGGGCGAGCACAGTCAGTGAAAAGGAGGGGAAGGTTATTGAGAGACAGGAAATAAAGGCTCCTGAAGGGTTGGGTAAGGTGAGTAAGACGGGAACTCCGGGTGAGGAACGAGGTAACCGTGCGCAAAAGGGGACATGGGGAGGGAGGACCTGTTGGGAACAAGAAATTAGCAGGATGCTCTGGGTGAGGAGGCCAGTGTGACTTTTTTGGGGGTTGTTGTTGTTGGAGCTGGGTGAAAATTTGTGGTTGGGAGGACGGCTCGGCAAACTGTTTACACTAAAGGGAATCCTGACCGCGTTGGGGATTGAGTTAAAGGTTGAATTGATAACTGTTGCAGTGCGCACGGGAGCATCTAGAATGGAAGGTTCACGAGGCGTGGGGGAGAGTGGTGAGAAGTAAAGAGGGGAAAGATGGAAATCGGCAAGTGTTGGACGTGGACAGTGTGTATGGTTGAGTTGCTGATCTGGATGAAATATTCTTAAAGGCTATCATTGCATTGTTGTTATGTGCCGTCGAGTCGATTCCAACCCATAGCGACCCTGTATGGTGTTTCCAAGAATTATTGCCATTAGGTACCTGGAAAAAGCTGATAGATGCTGGGATTCATAATTTTAAACGGATTTGAATGATTTGCCTTCTTTGGCCTTCCCTAGGACCAGGGCCCACCCCCGTCCCTCCCCCTTCTTCATGCTGTTATTTCTGCCTTACTGTTTTGGTTTGTGAATAACTACTAAGTGTTTTTGGAGATTTTTAACTCCTTTTACAATGAGAAAAGAATCTCAGGGAATAAGGACTGTTCTGTCCCACCTATTGATTCATTGAGTAACTTGTGAGGCAAATCATTAAACTGATTTCATTGTTTTTTCTTCTCCTTTTGAAATATAGGTCCAGTCCCTCCCTGCTACTAAAAGATTGTGTTAATCAAATGGGATAAAGTGGTTGCAACAAAAAGTGATTTCCGAACTCAAGTCTGAGATAATATTCTTCCTCAGCATGCAAGGACTTCTGTCCCTTATTTGCTAGGGAACAGTTGGTTTTTAAATTTTTTCTTAGCATCGTTTATCATTCATATTATGTTGCACTGTCAAAATGGAAATAGGGAGATTTAGAGTTGGGGATGCATGAGTTTGGTTTGTGGGGACCGTGGGAGAATGCAGTGTGTTAGAGAGAATACAGTATTGTGCCCTCTAGTTTCCAGAGTATCTTACTCCCGACAAATTCTGAATTTCTTCGTGAAACTCTGAGAGTTCAAGGGTAAAAACAGTATTTGATGGTTAAGCGCTTTGCTTGGTTCCCCTCACTCTGGTATTGTTGACTGTTGGTGGAGGACCAGTGTGTTTATGGGCAATTTCAGCTTCTTTATTCCTACTCATTTGAAATTCTGGTTGTCCTTTTTTTTTCTGAGGGGGTGCATAGAGCTCTAATAACTATTTTTCCCATTGGTAAACCTGTTTAGCATGGAATATGTGTTCCTGGAAGTCTTGGTAGTTTTGAAATCTGTTGTGGCTTTGCTTAAGAGGGGCAGATTCTAGTTTTGCCTCCCACTTGATACAGATTAGTGTTTACTCTGGGCACTGATGACTTTGTGATGTCAGCACAAAGGTGAAATGCACGGGAGGGTGGAAGGGATCATGAACAGTTCTCAGATTTTACAGATGACTTTGAAGAAGGGACTCCTCGTGTGGCACTGTAGGATCAGCGCTGGACTGCGGACTACAAGGTTGGCAGACCTTATGTATAGGGTCTCTGTGAATGAGAACGGACTTGATGGCACTATAACTTTTAACTTGAAGAAGGGAAGAGAGAGATGTCCTTGTTCCTAATGAAGATAAATTGGTCAGTTGTTCTTTCTTGACTCTCTGAGTTAGTTGTCTGTTGAGAGCGACCTGGTATACTTGGGTCTGTTTTCTGATTGATCTAACGTAATTCAGAAATTCATGGACTGTTGGTTTAGGCTGCATCTCCTAACCCCAGGCTGAGCTCTAGAATATGCTGTATATATACTTATTTTGGAATAAAAACCTGTTTGACATTATATTGTCATTTCAATTTACAGTGTATCATTTCGATTTGTTATTTAGAGCAGTTTTGAGATAAGTTATAGAGGGTCAGAGCTATGGCCAAGCTTCTTGTATAGCCTGCTTCTTTAGCATAATGATTTCTGTTTTTCCTATCCTGTCACGTTTTTTTCCATGGAACCATTTCTAAGTGGAAAATAGCAAATTACACATTTCCCCCCTCCTTTTTAGTCTCTTGTGGACATCTTGTCCTTGTCACAGTGTGATACCACCCAGTGAAAAGATTCTTGAATGTTCCAAATAGAGAGGATTACAGAAGCTGAGCTGGGTTTCCTGGGCCAGAGAATGGACTCTGTCAAAGCAAAGCAAAGTTGCAGAGACACACAACCGGGACCTTGAAGCTGTGAATAACATTTTGGCAACATGCATCCCTTTGCCAAATAACTTCTTTTATTCTTGAGTGTGATTGTTAATCTCTTTCTCAAAGTAGGCTCTTGTTGCTACTGTTCTTCACACAACTCCGGAGCAGAAGCTGGCAGAGAGTCTCGGTTGACTGTCTCTTGAGGGCTATGCCTCAGCTTAAAGTAGATGGGGTGTTCTGTATCAAAACGAGGTTCATTGGCAGATCTTGAGAGCTGCTGTGCAAGGCACTAGAGGCAGTACTCTCTATTGAGTTTTCTCACAGCCCTTTATGATTCTTCTAAATTCACATCGGTTACTTATTCATCTGGTGATTAAATGCAGCCAGAGTCACTGTCTTTGCTCAATGTGAATGTCCTGGGCATTGAAGAAGAAGACTTGGATTTCTGACATGCCCCCTCTCCCTCTGCCCCACCCACTGGCTCAACTTAAATTTACAAGGACTTCTTCATAATAATCTGTAATAACAACATCAACAGAAATCCAGGCCACTGCCATTGATTTGGTTCTGACTCATCGTGGCCCCGTGGGACAGAGTAGAACTGCCCATAGGGTTTCTAAGACTGGAATTTTTATAGAAGCAGATTGTCCCATCTTTCTCCTGCAGAATGGCTGGTGGCTTTGAACTGCTGACCTTTCAGTTAATAGATGAGCATGTACTGTGTCACTGCAGTGTCTAATATAATCCACGTTGGTTGTTGTTGAGTGCCGTCGAGTCAGTGCCGACCCATAGCTACCCTCTATAGGGTTTCTGAGGAGCAGCTGGTGAGATTGAACCACCAACCTAGCGGTTCAAAGTGACTTTGCAGTCTGGTGCATTAACCCACAGCGCCAGACCAGGACTTCAATATGATCTATAGAGGGATGTTTAAAAATGTTAAATAGAACCTTATGACAAAAGCAATGTTAGCAGGGAAAAAAGGTGGTGTGTGTGCTAATGTCTGTGTCTTAGGAGGCAGTGGTGGTTCAAGTGGAAGAATCTGGCCGTCTGTTTGGGAGATCTGGGTTGAATTCCCTGGCCATGCGCAAATCCTGCTACCACTTGTCTGTTAGTAGAGACTTGCCTGTTGCTATGATACTGCAGGGGTTTCAGTGATGCTTCTAGACTAAGATTGACAAGGAAAGACCTAGTGATCTACTTCTGAAAAATCAGCCAACGAAAACCCTGTGGAGCCCAGTGGTCTAGTCTCCTGTATGGAATCACCATGACGTGATAGCAGCTAACAACAACATTGCTGTCAGCATTAGGATGTCAAGATTGTGATTCAGTACTTGAAAAGAGTTTGTGGACGCAAATTAGTTATCAAATATAAAAGCTAGAAATTGACTCCGTATAGGCTTGGCAAAATTAGTATAATTTAGAACGGCTATGAACAATATATTTTACGTAATAACACATACTGTTGTGTTTTTTTTTCCATAACTGTGTGGGAATGGATTATGAATGGGTTATATAATTTATGACTATGACCCTTATAATATTGGAAATACCCCAAAATGAAGCCTCTCTTTGATAGCCCTGAATTCGACTGTTTCTTGCCCTTGTTAGCTTAAAGTATCTGTTTCTGATATGCAGGTTTGGGAAACCAGCAAATTCACCTATCAAAGGCTTTGACTCTGGTCTAGCACTTTGATTGTGGTAGCAAATATGATTATTGGATTTGTGTTTAAATCCAGTCATAGATCATTTTTGAAAATCATCTTGAATGCTTGTCAAATTTATATATTTATAAGGAATATGTATAAGACTTCCCCATTCTTGTAATTGGTTTTTTTTAAGTTTCTTAAACTTTGTGGATTCAGATTAAGCTCAATCTAGAATTTGAGGTCCCTTAATGAATATGATTGTTTTTAGTCAATATTTATGATATTTCTTCAGTACAAAGTTACTGACCTACTCTTTATGCATACAGAAATTATGGAATCCGATAATCCCCGCTGATTAAAATCATGAACGCACTTTCCCTATTTATTCATATTGGGGCACTTAGTTTTAAAAATGGAATTTTCTTCTAAAGTCGTACAGTTTAGTATGAACAGTACACCTGAGATTTTGGGATAATTGAGTTTTCTTCTTTCCACTTTCATCTTGCCAATGCTCACCTAGTAGAGAGGATGTTTGTTGTTGAAGATCCAGGTATGAGATATTTAAACTAATACCTCTGTCTTAAAAATCAGGACAGGAATGTTTTTAGTAAGTTTTATTATTTGAGTAGAAAATACATATGGTTCAAAATTCAAAAGGTAAAAAAATGGCATATAGTAAGTAGTCTACCATTTACCTTAGTTATCTTCCCAGAGATAGGTAGTA